GCTGCTCCTCTGAGGTGTTACAATCAACTTCAAAACACAGCAGAACCTGCCCTAAGCCACAGAAATGGCACCGTATCAGCATTTGATTAGAACTGAGCAAAGCAGTACTCTGTGCCATGTGCTAAAGCTCCTGAAGTGACATTTTCAGAACCGATATTTTCTGAAAAAATTTCAGTTTCCACAAGAGCATGCTTTAAACATTTGATCCTAGAGTTTGTCTTCAGTTCCTCTAAGAAGTTTTTACAAGAGTTTTCCTGCTCCCTTGTTGACATTTACATGGATCTGCTCAGCAAGGGAGAAGCTCGCTGACTACTAGAGAAACTGATTATACATTATAAGAGCACGAAGGAAAAATGAAAGGGAATTTTTCCTTCCTAAATATTTTCAGCTACATTGATTGTAGGCATTACTGTAATCATGTTCAGGGCATTTTTTCACATGGAAATGTATGTTGAACACTGATATTCCAGCAGTGGTAAACATTTGATTAACAAGGGTTACCTTATCTGCAGGTTTTACTACACTATGTTATCATCATTCAGTCATGATGTGCTCCTACAAATACATATACTTAGATACTTTGGGCCTTTCTGAGGGAGAACTACATCAAATTAAACATCGGGTGAGAGGGGTAGGAAGGGGAGAAGCACAAAAGTAGAAAAAGCCCACACACCAAAGTGCTGGATCCAAACTCCTAAATCTGGGACGAAATTTAGCTCACACTCTGCACTGTATGGACTGAGTATGTCTACAGCTGAAAAAGGAGGGACAACTAAAGTCAATAGATGACAAAGAAAGGGTCAGGGCCTTTAGAGACACAGTGGTGCATATCTTGAAGTAAGGCTGCAAGGTGCAGAAAAAGGAGCTGTGGGAAAAGAGGAGAAAGGAAAAGAAAAGGAAATTAATCCTTTGGGATCTACCGTAAAAATGTATTTTCCATCCAGTTAACCTGGAACATTTTTTGGAATATAGGTAAGCAGCATAGACTCCTCTGAACAACAGATCTATGGAAAGAGTAGATTCCCTCTGTGTTAAGAGGTGAAGTTTAAGAAAAAGAGAAGATGTTTAAAGAAGGTATTCTTTAGGAAATGAATACAACTTGTACATTGAAACTAAATAGAGGGTGGATGCAAAGAAAACAGAGCCTAGAAGTGCAGGAGGAAATAAAACCTTTGATTTAAAACTATAGCAAAGACAGTTAATAAAATACTCTTCTGCAGAGGAGAGCCTTGTCCTCAGAGAGATTCACTATAAACATCACCGAGATCTAAATTGTAATGAAGTGAAATAATTTTTAAAGAGATGGTTGCTTTATGATTCAAACCTTGGACAGGAGAGTTTAAGTTATCTGATCTACATTATCCCTGGCACTGCTCTGTTATACCCTCAGGGAGGATGGTAGGGAGTGGGAGGGGAACTTATGCCTGAAATTTGAATTGCCATTATCCTCTACTCTAGGTGAAAACATGAGAAAGGTGAACCTTCATCTTGGAGATGCTGAGGTCCAACAGGTATCACACATTTTAGGGGCAGCTGAATATTTAATGCCCTTTGAAAAAAATTCCACGTTTTTATTGTCCATTCATGTTGCTATCAGCTCCACACTGGTTGCCTGACTTTGAAAACACAGGTTTTCAGGAGCCCAGAAGATCTCAAACCCACTGAAATTGAATGGGATTTGGACTTTTAACTCTTTTGAACATCTATGAAGAGTCCAGACCTAACAGGTGAATGGATACATGTTTTGCCCTTTTCTGTCATCTGACATTTGTCAGACACCAAGTACAAGCCATTCCTCAGGAAGACCTAAGGCACCAGGAGAGTATTCTAGTGAAGTATCATGATGCGTTTTCTCAGATAGAATCAAGAGATTGTTCAGGATGACATCCTGAAGTATCTAGATCAACCTTCTGCTCCAGACAGGGTCAGCTATAAGAACAGACCAGGTTGCTCACAGTTTTATCCAACTGGCTCAGAAAGGAAGGACAGAATGTATTTTCTCTGGGCAATCTGTTCCACTACCTCGTTGTCCTCATGGTGACTAAGTTTCTCCTTATATCCAGTCCAAACATTACACAGAATTACAGAATGGCAAGGGTTGGAGGGGACCTTGGGAGATCATCCAGTCCAACCCTCCTGCTAAAGCAGGCTCACCCAGAGCAGGTTGCACAGGGCATCATCCAGGCAGGCTTTGAATATCTCCAGAGAAGGAGACTCCACAACCCCCCTGGGCAGCCTGTTCCAGTGCTCTGTCACCCTCAAAGTAAAGAAGTTCTCCCACATATTCAACTGAAACCTCTTATGTTTCAGTTTGTGCCCATTGCCCCTTGTCCTGTCACTGGGCACCACTGAGAAGAGTCTGGCTCCGTCCTCATGACATCTACCCTTGAGATATTTGTACATGTTGATGAGATCCCCTCTCAGTCTTCTCTTCTTCAGGCTAAACAAGCCCAACTCTCTCAGCCTTTCATCATAGGGAAGATGCTTCAGTCCCCTAATCATCTTTGCTGCCCTCCTCTGGACTCTCTCTAGGAGTTCCTCAACTTTCTTTAACTGGGGAGCCCAGAACTGGACACAGTACTCCAGGTGGGGAAACATTTTGTTTCAGTTTATGACTGTTGTATCTCATTATGCATTACTATAAGAAGCCTGGCTCCATCTTCTTGATAAACCTCCCTGTAGGTATTGGAAAGCTGCTATTAAGTCTGCACCTTTAGGTCTTCTCCAGGCTAAATGCTTCTTACACCATTCCTGACATACCCACTTTAAGCCACTGTTGGAGACCGAACGCTCAAAGGTGGTGGATATACAAACTTTTGGTCAGACCCAGAATGGATTTTCTTATGCTTACTGTATTTACTAGTGCATTCTTTCCTTTGAATATCTATGGGCACCCTCTCAGGGGAAAACTTAAAGGCCACAAGCATGCTGTGATTACAAACAGCAATTTAATACAACATCAGCTTGCTGCCAGGAGGAACTTTCTTTTGATATAAACAAGAGATAGTCAGCATGGCTTCAGTCTCCTCTCTTTATTCGAGAATGCTTTTTGCTCTGAGGGCTTGGCTTTGTTTCTTAAAGTTCACAAGCAGATTCTTACAAACCTATGATCACTAAATGGAAGTGACAGGACTACAGCATCTTGCCATTAAATAAGCTTATTTTAGCAACAGAAAACCCCCACCCTATCACCTGTTTTTACAAGAAGGCAGGAGGTATCATCAGCACCACCTACTCCTTGCTCAGTAGTCTCCATTTCTGCCTTTAATCCAGTTTAAAAAAAACCTGTGTCAAGTACAGAAGTTCAGTATGAAAATGCATAGGCTTTCCCTCACTGCCTTAAGGTCCACAGTTTCAGCTGGGTCAGAGTGATTCGGACTTCAGCCTACAGCTTGACTATAATGGTTGTGGGTTTAAAGCCATAGAAAACATGCACCACTTCTAGGCAATACACAAGATCTAAACAGTTGATTATAGGCCCATTCACTACCCAAGGACCACTATCCTCACTGGTATTTATGTTTACCTGTAAAAGGCTAAAACCCTCTGTGATGACAACAATTTCATCCTTGTTTCAAGGCTTCCAATGGATGAAAGTCCAATATTCCCTCTCCAAAATAATACAATCGCAAGATTAGCCCAATTGAGAAGGAAACTGCTTTGGTTGGTCATGAGTTAAGAAGGCCCAGGACACTGCCTTCATTTGCTTAAATAGTATGTGTGTCAATGAAAGTAATTGCTAAATAAAGAAACCACCCAGCAATTTTTTTTCAAGTCAACATTCACAAGCTGTGGTTTAGCACTATCCTCCCTTTCGTGAAGCTGTAAGGCGTTGCAGAGTTTATGAAATTCCCAGAATTGGTATCACAAGGGTGGAGAGAGTGAGAGGGTAAGGACAGTCTAAAGAAAGTTGCCATTTCTGACTCAATGCACATTTTTTTCGCCGTGACACCTTTTCCTCCAAGGTTACCCCAGGAATCTGGTCAACTGGTGTTATTGTTGGATTCCAGGAAAGAGGGGAGGATATAAAAGGATTAGGGAAAATGCCTGAGGTCCCAAGGGCACTGTGAAATTTGGATAACTTATGAGATTCACTGGCTTTTCTGCTTTGCAGGATAAAGAAAGCGTTTGAGCCATAAACCCTAGGGAATAGAGAGAGGGAAGTAGCTTTTTTGTTATTATTGGTTTTTTTAGGGGTTGCTCTTACCTTCTCCATCGAAAATAGGCTGAGTTTCCATGGTAGGCGTTGGCTTCGAACCATCATCTGAATTGAGGGTTAAAAAGAATCGAAAAGAAACTACCATTATTGAGGTAAATACTATCTACTCTCCAGTACTGTTGAATGATTGGGATTTGTACATGGCCCGGCCAAGTCCAGAAGAGAGAGAAGACAGATAGAAAGAAAACAAATTATTCAGAGTTTACGCTAACAGCAATAACTTTTTACATCGCAAGCATGCATCAAGCACTATCCCTAGACTTAAAAGCCTCCCTTCCTCCCCTCTCCCTCCCCAGATTGTTGGTGTGCATCACCTGGTAGGCTCCCCTCGTTGCCCTGATCAGGCAATCGCCGCCTTAGTTTCAGGTGGCTGTATATCCCACCCAGGATGTTTCCTGAGACAGCAGAGGCTGTCCCACTGTGTCTTTCTCACTCTTTTTGTTCAAAAGAAAAACACTTCTTCTGAAACTTACCTGTGCAGAACCTGGCACCAGCATTCACTGCAGCGCTGTTAGAAAGGGATGGTCAAATAGCAAATCTTTTTTTCTTACTATGTCTGCATCAAGGTATTCTCTAATTGCAATGCTGTGGCAATGTCTTCTAATTGCAAAAATCATGGAAAAAACTTCTCTCAGATTAAGTTTTTCATGTGCAAGAACGCTCCATGTCTTCTGACCACAAGGCTTTCATAATTAAAAGCTTCAACCAAAAAAGATTCCACAGGAAATATAAATCTCAAAATTTAGAGATGGACCACAGGGAAAAGTGTTGAGTTTACACTCTGTTTGGCTTAGTAGGCCTGTCCATCATACCTACAGACCCAGCTTGGATTCGGGCTGAGCTGAATGTCCTCGGCGCTCAGAGGGATCTGGATTTCAAGCCCCAGCTTGGAGCACTTTTACACAGCACTAGGACAGTGGCACAGCATTAAGTGAGGCCAAACCTTTGACTGTGGGCAAGCTAAGCTGGAGCGAACTGTAGAGAAAATTCTTTTGTTACACTGCAAGATAAGAGTGTAGAACATTGTTGGGATGTAAACTAAGAAGAGATTAGCTTAGGATTGCTTTTTATTTCCTTTTTGGAAGACAGTGGCTTTAATTTACAGTTTGTAACAACTATTTTTGTGTATATTATGGGCAAAGATGACACTATGCACCAGCAAAGTTGGCAGTAACCTAAAATGGAAAGTTGCATGGCAAAATTCAGTTGGAGAGAGGTCTATGCCAGAAAAGCAAGGCTTGCCACCGTCTCCATGACTGTATCAGAAGCATGGGACAGAAGCCATTTGGAGCAAAGGGGCATAGGACAGCCCCTCCTAGAAGCAGCAATAACTGTTCTCACAGCCTTCCCTTATGTTGGTTCAGATTACAAAAATAAGAGAATATTGGAAGGGCAGAGATGGAAAACACAGGCTTGTAAACTATTTTTCCACCAATACCTGTATTTGCAGTTTTATAAAGTGAGCAAAAGCCTGAACACCTCTTCCACAGATCATTAATTTTATGCATTTCCACAGAAAGCAATCTAAATCACAGAAAGAAAACCTGGTAATTTCATTTCAACCTCAGAGATCCCCTGAAGTAAAGGAGGCTGACAGAAACAAGCAAGAGATCCTGTTGTCATTCTCCCTGTTGATCAATGTATTTGTTTTTATGCTTAATTATAAGCATAGCAAAAAAAATATTTCAAGAAAAAATACTTACCATTCCTCAGTTAACTCTTGTCCTAAGTTTTCCTGTTATTGGGTATTACCAGTAATATGGATAAGCAGTATTTTTCTTTAAAAGTTTGAGCAACGGATTTCTTGGAAAAAATTCCCAAATTTTGCTTAAAAGAAGGAAGATTTTGCCCTCTAAAGAAATCTCTGGATAAAAGTAAATAGTTGATCTTCGCTTTTTTTTTTTTGTTAGTATACACTGCTCTACAAGATCCCAGAAACCACAGCAATGACATTTTATTTATTTAGGATGACACTTCACACTGTAATGAAGCAGTGAGCAGTATGTAATCAGCACGATTGGCTTTACAGATTGAGAAACCAACCCAGAAGTGCAAAAGATACTCATAGAACAACTGGAAAGATGAATAATTCTTAAGTTATATTAAATAGGAAGAGACCTGCATAAAAAAAATACCAGCATAATAATAATAATAATAATAATAATAATAATAATAATGTTGTTTATTCCTATTGTTCTCATGAATGCTTCTGCACCAAGTAATTACAGAATTGCTTTTCAGATTTAAAGCAGCAACCCAGAAGCCAACAATGGAGAAAAATTCCAAGTGGATCTGAGCCACAACACTTTTTATCCAAACCATTATGTGAACTTTGGCAGAACTTGGGATGCTTCAGGTTCAGGGGGTTTCTTTCAAGCTCGTGTGTATGTGTGTAACGAACAGAAACAGTAGCAAATGCAATTTGGGAAATACCTTCTTCTTAAAGAAAGAGGTTTTTGTAGCAGTTTTTGTATAAATTTAGCCATTAAGCTACTGAAGGGTATTAAACAGTGACAGAATAAATGCAGCAAATAAACAAAAATACCAAACAAACCTTTGAACTGTGTTTGATTATTAAGATCATCTCAGTAAAATGGCTGTGAACTACACAATCATTTCCTCACTAAGTTACTAAGGCCAAATTGCCACTAAGTCCACATTGTAGCAGCACCCATTACAGTGTTAAGGGTTTTGCAAATAGAGGGAAGTATAATTACTCCCCTGTTGTTTGAGCAAGTATAGTTCTTTCATCACACATACAAGAAAAAAATACAATAGACAAGGGCCCTGTAATTACATTCGCCATATTTCAAAAAATCAAAGCACAGATATTTCTGATTTTTTTAAGGTCATGAAATGGTCACATAAAAGACAAAAATTGCACTTTATTAAAAACACCATGCTCACTTCCCAACTGCCAGCTTCATACTCCAAAACTACCAAATCTATTTGTTAAACTGGAGAATTCTCAGTAGGTCTCAGTGTTTCAAATTAGCTTATGGCAAAGTTACACCGAAGAACAACCCTAATACTTGTCTACTCTCATTTGATTTTTCCTCTTGCTTAATACACCGTTCATCACACTGAGCATTTGTTCCTCTGGCCTGTTTGCTCCTAGTAAACAGGGAATAAGTTCTGGTTTACATACCCAAAAGTTTTGAACAAACTTTTTGTATTCTGTAAAGAAGTATTCTAACTTAGAACAGAAAAACCAAGCTATTTCAGAGGTCTGGGGTCTCCTGTGATATTATGAGATGTACAGGATGTTTTTACTTCAGATCCAAAGGTCATGAAATATGTTCATCAAGTACGATACATTCCTCTCTTCAAAAAGCTATTAAATTCCACACTTGCAGAATTTAAAGGCATGTAACTGCAATAGTTCCTCATGCAGATCATGTCACAAACAGGGATCAAAGAGGTCGAGTAGGTGCTTTCTAATCCCTCTAGATGGCAATGCTTCCAGATCAGGAACTCACGTACTGCAGAACCATCAAAGATAATTTCCCTTGGTTGTGGAATATTCTCAGAGCCTGAATGAAGAGTGCATTGGCATGCTTCTCTTCCGTGTTTTACAACCCAGCATGAATACCCACTTTATTTTTCCAAGACAACCACTGAATACAAACAGCATCACTCAACAGAATACTTCTGATGGGACATAGTTTTAAAGCCACAAAACTCCTTTCCAGTAAGCCTCCTTTTCCTAGGCTACACCTGCAAAAGTTGAGCTGATTTTTCTGACTCAAGTGGTGTCAATTTTAAAATGGTATTTTTATCTTATCACTGGTAAGAGTGAAACAGGCAGGTCCAAACAACTCTCCCTTAGCCATTTTCACATTAAGATACCATGGCTATAAACCAGAAGCCCACTTGCACTACCACTGTCAGAGGCTCGTAAGCTTAAAACCAATTTTTGTTGTGTTAGCCTGACGATAACTCAGATCTATTGCTAGTGGTGGGCAAGAACTCTTCATGCTCCCACTAGGACTCCTCCCCCCCCCCCCTTACTCTTATCCTTGCAGAATATCTAGCAAGAATCCGCATCTGGAATGACTGCAGTGTACACTGGGGTTGAGGGACAAGGAGATTCAGTTCATGCACAAGGTGACTGTTAAAAGTGATCTTTTTACTCTGAAGAACAGGCACTGAGGCCACAAGCAACTCATGTTATGTCTGGGGGAAAGTAAAACTCCCTGACATAGAAAACACAAATTACTATGGAAAAATGTGAAGTAACTGCCTGCTGCTGTGAATCACTGCTCTTGCCTCAAGCCACCTAACAGAAGCTGAAGAAAGGGGAAAGTTAGGTGATAGAATTAACCTCCTGTATGACATCTCCTACCCAGGAAAATATACCCACTGCAAAAGTCATCTGTATACATGCATCACCACGTTAACAGATTAAGAATGATACTCTTCCTAAGCAACCTCAACCTTCAGTACATCACCTTTGTGTTCTCACTGGAATCCGTGAGACTCTCTGTAAACATTTCTACCATTTTAAAGAGTGCTAGTGTTTATGGGGTCAACCATCCAGGCTTTGTACAAAATCTAGTCTTTTTTCTAAGTCTACAGTTTGAACATTAAGGGTTTCCAGACTTTGAGTCAGCCTGGTAGAATAAGAGGATGACAATTTTAAGGACATAGCTCTGCCCTGGGAGGAGGCAGCCTTTGTCCAGTGTCAAGTGGTTCCTTCACTTACTGTCATCTGGTTTGGGGTGAGGCATCACAAAGCATAGCTGAAGCTAAATAGGCAACTTTGAGCACAGGTAGCCAGGACAATGAGTGAATTCTTAGCACGTCCTGTTCCATGTAGCAAAGCTCACCTGTAGCAAGCCCGTCAAACCAACGGGAAGAGAGAAGAGGTTTCCTAGGCTTGAGCACTCCTAAGGGACTTAAATCATACATACACCTTTCTGCAGCTTTAGTAACTCTGGTCAGATGCATCAAAGACCTGACAGGTCAACTTAAGCTCCCTGTATCTGTGCAGTTCTTGAACCTTGAAGATGCAATTTTACAACTTTGACATTTCTGTGTATTAC